TTTATTCACAATCGAGGGACAAACGTTTTTATGCTCATTCTTTTATGCTAGTTTTTCTGTAGTTTTCCCGAAATGCTATTAATTATGAAAATTTATTAATTGATATTTTGTTAATACAATAATCTTGGAAACATTTTTTACATATATCAGAGTTGTGTTACGAAATTGAAACATTGATAAAAATTATTTATTTATGCAAAAGTTTGCATTCTATTTCTTATAATTGCTTCAGTTGAAATGAGAATAACTTGTTAGAATAGATACTTGTTTGCGCCGATAGTTTTCTTGATTCTTTTACTAACTTATGCTCGTTAATCGTATCTCAGTTCGCGAACGCGGACCGCAAATTACTGACCGGAATAGAGCGGAGAAAATCGGACCTACAGATTAATTAGTAACGCATACGAACTTTAATAGTCATGTTGAACTAACTCCGCGATAATAAAGCGTAGCGCGTGTTGATGGCGATGATTAAGGCTACGTCTTTGATTACGAGAGTAGTAGAGTTATTACAGCGCTTTCTAACGAGAGTCGTTCAACGCTAATACGTCCACTGAACGTCCTCCTCGCGCCCGTTGCTCTCGGTGTGACCACGGCAAAAAGCACGTCGTTCATTACTTCCGTGCTCCTTCCATTCAAGATCCGCTTGGAACTTAAGAACATGCCTGCGCGAGCATGCAGCCGTCCAAGTTTTTTCACGGTTCTCTCTAGGTCTCTCTCTCTCTCCTTCATGTATGTCTGCCCACCAATGTCATGTTTCTTGGCAATGGCTTGTGAATTTAATGAGCCGTGAGAGAGAGAGTACTAGTACTATATACATATATGTAAGCTGGTTGGTGCAGTACGGAATCGATGACGTCGTTTGACGATCGCTATCGCCGCGAATTTATTGCCTTTCGCTGATTTTTATTTGTGTGTATTCATTTATTGTTTATTTGTTTAATTAATTAATTAAATTTTAGGATGCATAAAACAAGTTTTGAAATCTTGTAATATTTATTTTCTTTATTCTCAGCAATGTTTCTTGTTTCTTCTTTTCTTTTCGTCCAGGATTCTTGTACTTATTGCCCATTTGCATTCCGTCTCGAAAATATTTCAGTGTTAAAAGCAAGAAAATATAGAATCTCGAGATTGGAATTAATACTAAATATTAAATTGGATAAATCTTTACATTAATGTATTCTCTCCCGACAATCTTGATCTTGACATATATCGTTACGATCATGATTTTTGAGTAACTCTTTTAAAAGATTTTAGCTCGTTAATTATTAAAAAGTTATTTACAAATAATGGTTCATGCAAATCAATCAAAGTTTGAACATAGAATGAAAAATTCAATAAGTAATAACAGGCGGATTTAAAAACATGATTTGAAACCTCTCGTGCCGAATTCCGATAAAACTACATTATCAAAGACAATATTAAAATGAATCAGAATCAACGCGACGCAAATGCAGCATGTTCGCGGTTTTATGTATATAGTCGCGTTATAAGTAAATCAATAAATGGTTCCGTTCGTGTCGATGAACTGGATTTTTCGATACACATAGCTATTTACTATTATTATACTTACAGCCATGTTTTTCTTCTTTTTACATATAAGTTCTCACGCTATACAAGAGAACTTATCGTACGGATAAAACCTGGAGATAAGAATTTATATTAATTTAATGATTGCTTTTATTTGACTTGTTTTTTTATTTATATCTATCGAACTTGTATAAAAAATTGTCACGAAAAACTAATCTAAATTTGTATGCATTTCTAGTTTATTTATTTAATTGTGACATTTTACCTGCATTTACTTTCTTGCAACGTAATTTAAATTATAAAAGATTGCAATAAGTAACATATAAATTATATTGTAAAAGTCGAGAAATTCGAGAAACAATTTTTGTTCGAGTTTTAAACAATTCTGTTACATTTTGTCATCAATGAGAGTAATATTCTCGCTATCGAGATAATAGAAACTTTTCTCTATCTCGTACATTTCCTGCATAAAGCGTCATAATCTGTTCACACATATACAAACGTTCTTGCGATGCACCTGGGCATATTCACATGAACTCGACAACTGGGATATATAGTCAATCCAAAGGTTTATAGGTACTAGTAAATATATAATAGTAAAGATACGCGAAACATAGTAATTCATGAACATATAACCGTTCCAACAACTTGTTTTAAAAGGTACTTTTCACACCTTCAAGACGTGTCTCTCAAAACGCTCGTCACAGATCATAGATAAACTCGAGGATCTCAATAAGTATTGAAATACCCCTTGTGTGTACAGTCAAACAAACGGGTCAATGTACTTTACACACACGAGTCACGTGCATTCACGAAATGTGAGACCTGCGAGGGTTGGCGTAGTTAGAGCAATATAACCGATCTAACAAGATTTCTCGAGAGTTAAATGATTCGATATCCGTCGTTAAATCGAGTTAAGCCGAGAGGTGGACACCTCACACCGACGAGGATGATCATGAAGATTAATCTCCAGTCATCGCGATCACGTTAACGTTGGTATTCCTTTCCATCCTTCATTCCAACCAGGCGTTACCTTTCCGTCTCTCCACCGATATCCACCTTGGGTTTCCAACTGTGAGCTTTTCTCACGCATACCTACCTACCTGCATGCGCATGCACGTGCTCGCACTCCGCGGCTACTTTCCGCTCCTCTTTTATTCCTCCTCTTCACACTTCTCGAGCTCTTTCCTCGTCAGGCTAATTCGAACTCTCCTCTTCGAATTCTCTTCCGCGTTCTTTCAAGCTGCTGCGCGTGTACCTTCTTACTGTTATTTCTCTCAAATATACATGTTTTTGTGTTCTTGGACGCGGGGTAATAAATAAAATTATTGGAAAAATGTAACGTAATTTTTAATTTATCCATCTGTCTTTTGGTTCATGTATTTATCTTATCTCTTATTGTTATAATTATTTTTAGAGTAAATATATTTTTATACGTATATATATATGTGTGCAAATATTTTTGTAACTTATTAAAAATAATTATAACTTAAATATAAAAAATATAACAAAAATTATATAAATACATAGTGTATTTTATATTAGAACATTATACTTATTTAGTTTTCACTAAAAAAACTAACGAATTTTAACAATTTTTTTTCTCTAAAAGATTGTTAATTGCAATATAATTTTAAATGTAATCGCACATAATGATCTTACAGCCAATGCATAACTGTGCCTCGATTAGAATCTTAATGAGTAAAAAGGCGTGGTCTCGAAGCATTTATTTACGCTACTACATCTCGGTCAGTACATTTTTAGGTCGAAATGACAATGATAATTCATCTATTAACACTGTATATTTTATGAAACATGATTATTCGTACAACAATAATTCGTCTATTTTACAATGATAGCTTGCTTCCCATGCATCGTATTTGGACATATATATTGCCCGATAAACATATATAATTCACATTTTGTATATTCCTTTAAGTGTTTACAATTTTCAGAAAATTGTTTATTGTACTCTCGTTCAATTTTTCGACAATTGCAAGTAAAATGATTTATATATATTATGCATGAGAATCTCTCTCTCTCTCTCTCTCTCTCTCTCTCTCTCTCTCTCTCTCCCTCTCTCTCCCTCTCTTCTCATTAATATTATATAATTATTTGTAATATTGAGTTCTAAAAAAACGCTCGATTATTACTTGGAAGTAACATAACTTTCTTTCTTTTCCTTTCTCATATTCGTTCTTCCAGCTTCTTTCCCGGATACATGAGCGTCGCGTCGTTATGAATAACCACGTCAAGTATCTCGCTGGATGGAGGAATAATTTCACGAGGGAGATGCTTGGCTGGCATATTAATTTACGGTTATTGCATGATGGACGTTCCAACTTTCAGGACCGATGGACATTGTGACTTACTAAACACAGTCGATCACCGAACAAGCGAATATTTCATTATTTCTAAGACGCCAATGCGTTGCTTATAATTATGCATAAAATTCTGCAGCATCTTATACATCTTTATTGTACAAATTTCTTTTTTTCAATTCCTCGAATCTCTAAAAAAAGATCTCATTTTGTTATAATAACTCGTATACATTTTATCATAGAGTTATAGAGAACTTTTTGACATTTTTTTTCGTTTAATCAATTATCAAGTTCAGTCGTGAATGTTGAAACGCGAGCTGTTGAAACACCGTTTATTTCATTAAAGACACACATCCTATCGTAAAAATATAAGAGAAATGCGAGATAATTAACGTGCTTTATTCTGGGTGTAGCAGGCAATTAAGTAAGAGAAGGTTATTTATCGCGCAGTTCACCAACAAACACAATATACTGTTCGTAAGCGCGGAGCGAATTGGCACTTATTTATTCTCGCAATATTTTAGATTCCTCGCCTCATAAAATTTCTAGATTCCTTCTTGACAGACAGTCATCACTTGTACGCTCGCTCTGAAATTCCTGAATTGTATTATTTTTTTGATATGAAGCCAGAACAACCAGATGGTTGAAGGATTAGACTTTACGTTCCTTCCCTTGAATTTCTTGTACGTACGTACGTACCACCAGTGCTCAGGGTCATGGTTAGGCGACTTCTTCCGTTGGTTCCATGCGATGTGGCAGTCGTGACTCATGATGAATCGTCCCTCGACGTAACTCTACCTTTTCTTCATCTAGATCTTGAGACTCGAGCACAAACGCTACGCGTTCGCAACGTCGTTCACACAATCTTGTTCACACAATTCTTCCGAATAAGCGATAATTGTCGCAATCTTAAAATCTTTACGTTTATAACAGGTGATAATGATCTTTGACTTGGGCCGTTACTATCTATTGTGAACTTAGATCTATTATTATTTTAATGTATGAATCACGTATATGAAAAAACTATTTAAATTATTATAATTATTATTAAAATAAATTATTATTATTATTATTATTATATTATTATTTACATATGTACATGTGAATGATCTACATAATAATCATATTGTAATGTAATTTTTGTTTTAGATTATTACTTTTAAGTGGCTTCCTGCTAGTGTTCTCCAGCAATCTCGCTACGGCAACTATTTCCGCGGAAAATACATCCGATTTCGAGACAGTCCATACGAGCAACGCGGCTATCCTAAACCGACTCGGGCTTGCGCCTCTTCAAATACCCGACGGTCATCACAAGAAGCGGTTAGCTGGGCCTGAACCACCGGGACTTAGCTCGCAAACGCGTATACATCAACCTTACAGTCGTCGTCACGGTCACCGCGACAGTCACATTTACATCGTGAAGCTTCCGGCTAGTCCTCCGTACTACACTATTACGAAGCCTCACAAATCCGTCAACGATGATAAAGTGACCAAGACTGGTCCGAGTTTTCCGGTGGGTTTTCAAGGAAACGGTAAACCTGCCAAGATTTATCATTGGAATTTACCGGTCGTCAAAAAAGTGACGGAGAAAAAGCGTCTCCAACTGAATCAATTAATGGATCAGGCGAGGAAGAGACTGGACGATACGAAGAAACGGCAGAAAACGTCCTCCACGAAAATTATAATGAATAAATTTTATTCTTTCGATACGATCGGCAAGAATAACGAATATCATGTTGGCGATGATAAGCTTCATTCTTACCAAAGGCCACTAACGACAAAACACGTCAGAAATAACGACAAAAGGCTTACCTATCCAGACAACAATATCAAATTCAAATTGACAGAGAAGAATAGTGACGACTCTGGCAACAAGTTGTATAGACTGGACGATTTAAACGTACATAGGATCCATCTCACCAATGATTTCCACGGCTCGAAAAACACTGTGCCGAAGATGAAGAAGCATCGAAAGAAAGCTGCCATGTCATATTATGCGCCAATTTTCACAAAGACGGGTTCTACCAGCATCCATAAAAATTTCCCCGGAAATGGCAAACCCAAGGCTTTTTACATTATGGAAAAAAGTCGCAAACCAGTGTACTATCATCCTCTCCTACCTTAATCCTTGACTCCTCGTGTAATTGTGCACAATCATGTAACGTGTTAAGTGGCCCGTAAGCCTCTGTTAACCTAAGTAGACGTATATAATACTCTGTTTGTATAGGATCAGGGGTCGCCGTTCGAATAGAGACAACGACAAAACGCAGAAGAGAGAAAAAGAAAGAGAGAGAGAAACAGAGACTTTCAGATTTATATCGCATATGATAGTTTTTATTTAAGGCCACGTGCATTTTGCTGTCCCAGTTCTGTTATAGATGTATATCGTTATCAATTTTTTTTTTACTTAAAAAATCTATCGATAAGTAAATATTACACAAATGCAAAAGTGTAAATCTCATTGTCGTAGTTTGTCGATAATTCGTTTTATATATATATATTTAATTTTATATATACAATGCTATATTGATAATTTAATTCATTTCACACATCGCGAAAAATTGAGATTGATAACATTTACATTTTTATTGCTACATAACTAAATTTATGCTTCAAGAGCGACAAGTGAATGAGCATATCATGTTTTTTTTTTTTTTGGAGTTGTATTATATATCTATTGACACATACACATACATATTATATAGATATATAAGTAATTATACACACATATTGAATCGTTCGCGTAAAAGTTCGTAATGATTTTTAATTAATAATTGAACATATCGTAACATGTCATGAAGAAAGAGCTATTTAATAACATACATACATATTCTGAGAAGTGATATTTTAATAACACAAAAATTGTCTAGATTAACTAATAAAAAAAGCGTTGTTTTCTTTTAAAGCAATGCTTAATCTCATGTTTTTTTGCAGGATGCAGCAAAAATTTGTGCAGCTAGGCTGAAAAATGTATTCTACCATAGATTGTGCTAGATGTTTACAAGATTTAATATTCCCCGATTATTGTTTATTTTAATTTTTGCAGAATTTTCTTAACAATAAAAACTTCGAAGCTTGCAAAATCTAAGAATTTTTAAGCTGTACTCTAAAAATGACTACAGGTCGTCAACAAAAACAATGCATACGTAAGGATTATCTAAAAGAATATATAAAAAAAATATGTAATATATATATTATCTTCTATTCTTTTTTGTAAAAATTGCTACGAACTTTTCGAATAATTCAATACAATAATTATTTTTTACTTTTGTATTCTATAAGATATTCTCTCCAATTATACGATCGTTTTTTCTTTCGGTTATAGGATAATCGCGGGTTATATTCTCTATTTTTTCACCACGCAAGCTTTAAACCTTATCTGATGCCAAAAGCGAAAATATTCAACTTTACATGTCCCTCGTTCTTATTTTTATTCAACTTTATCGCTAAGCCGCTGGGACAATTCCTGAAAGATAAATAAATTCGGTTATTAAGATCATAGTTGGTTTCAAACGATCTTATAACCGAAGAACACTGCACTGCTAACTTAAAAAGCGCGATAGTATTACATATTGAGATTAATCAATGTTCCATGTCCGTTCCACATTAGATGACACTATTTACATTTGATATGAATATTGATTACACTATTATTTACTATAGCGTTTAAATCATATTATATAATAATTTAGCTTCTTTATCCATTTGCTCTTTTATTTATATAAGACTCATTACAAAAATGCTAGGAAATATTATATATTTCTACTTATGTAGATTAGTTCAAACATGCTACATGATGTTGATCTACTACAAAACTGAGAAGTTAACATTTTCTCTACAGAGCTTGAGTATCAAATAAGTTAGATTTTATTCTTGAACGAATCTCTGATTAAGCGCAAAGTTTTGCAATTGATCGGATTTTTTCAAACTGCAAGAGAGAGAGAGAGAGAGAAAGAAATCAGCGATCGCATTCCAAATGTTACTTCCCGCTGAAAGATCGGCTATGATCCTATAATCAAATTCTGTGTCGCTAAGTTAAGTTAATTAATTGTTAATCGCTAATTAACGCTGTATAGTATATTTTTATAAGTATAACACGCGGATATACTATTTCTATGCGTCCGTCGTTCATAATCATGATTGATTGATAACGTATATCGAATCCTTGATCAATATAACATGATTATAGACGGATTTTTTATGAAGACTGGACAATACATATTTTTACGTAATATGTAGATCTACGTGCATTGACGCGAAAATCTTTTTAATTAAATATTTTTTTTTCTACGTATATTTTTCCGTACATATATCATATAAATCGTAGGTAAGAATGCTCGATTGTAATAAGGTATTCAATATAACGAATAAAAATATTTATAATCCTTTGTATACAGTTTGTAGCGGTGAATATTTTTCGAATACCCATGTACATATATTTTGTATTTTTTTATATATGTTTAATCAATACATTAGTGGTTCTTTAATTGTGGATAATATTCACCGTTATCGTTATTTGATGAAAAATTCGTATCTTCTGTCGTGTGCAAAATGTCAAGTTATTAAGTATATTATTAATTTTTATTTTTTGTAAGGTCAGATTTACATTTGATACTTAAAAATGATAGTATTTCTAACTATTTTCAATGTGCTCTAGTAATTATATATATTATATATTAGTTCTTCTCGTGATTTTTTGGCTTGGAATTTTTTCACAGATATTAAATAGACAAATCCTCACAATTCGAGATAATTTTACAAACAGATTATTTTTCACATAAACTCTGTGTGAGATTTTTAAACTCCTTAGTATTAATTGAATTATATTATTTGTGATAATAGAATTTTATTAATTAAGATTTGTATAATAAGATTCTTTTCTGTTCTTATTTGAATCATAGTTTCTTTAATTATAAATTGCGGTGCGCGCATTAAAGTATATTAATTACGATTGCGGTAATTCAACGAATGTTTTTATGATCATGGCATGGGATAATGAAGTTAGCGATCAAATTGCAGCCATTAATGAGAACCGGTCTTATTTCTTTATTCATCCTGTTAGCATAGCAAAGATCGGAATTTTTCGCCAATGCCTAATCAGGTGTATATAATATACGTTTAAAATTAATAATTAATATACTCTAGCAATTATTATTTTAAAACTTCTATTTTATGGGATTCTTAGTATTTTTGTAGATAATTTTATTATTCTTTTCATAAAACTTGATTAATAAGAAAGTTTATGTGCACATGAAGAATAGCAGCAAATATAAGATGAATGGCTTACTAATGTTTTATATATATATAATCTATTAAATTGCAATACTCGTTATATTTTAGAACCACAATAAAAACGTGAATAAGCTTTTGATCAATAAGACAGAAACTAATGAATCTGCTTATCTCTGTGTTTATGGTCCTGTTAGACCGCTTTGTACCTGAATGAGAACCACTTACAACCCGTTACAACGCATTTACTTTAATATCTGCAAGGAACAGCCGTACTGACGACGAGTTGCTCGCCTCCGAACCACATTTTTTGGTAATTGACCATATAAATTTGAAATACTAAGAAGGACGTCTTTTTTCCGGGCAACTACTTTTACATTACTCTTGTACCGTTTCACGCGTAACACAAGCAAAAGCATTTTATTGCTGAACGATTACACGGGTATATTCATATATATATATACGAATTTTTTCGTGACCAAAACTCAATGATATTAAACGGATAAAGCGAGAATTATAAACATCATTATGTTGTATTGCTAATGTTTTTCTAAGTCTTTTGCGGTAAAATTATTATTGAGCCATTGGCGGACTAAAAATTGAAATAAGATAGGATAAATTACATAATTACAAGTACATAATTAGAAAAATAAAAGTATATATATATATATACATATATATATGTGCGTGTGGGAAAAGAAATGGTTCTTAGACGAAGCGGCAAAGTCAGATTGCAAAGAAATAAAATTGGTACTGAATCCCCTTGCGCGTCTGATCTAAACCACGCATGTTTGTAACCAGACAGGATACAGTCCAGACAATCTGACCAAACTCACATCCCAAGTCAATATTTGTATTACGCACAAGGGACGACGAAATATGCTTTTCGCTTTGCCGCATTATCATGGAGAGAATTAAAAATAATACACACACGCATGTAATCTAGTTCCCTTAATATCATTTTTACATATATTTCACATATTTACAAATTCCTAATTACATTCGTGTTGTGTCAATAAATATTTTGTAATATATAAAAACTAAAACAACCACTTCTTCAGTTATCTGAGATTATGTAATTTACTTATATATAATATATATATTATTGTATATTTTGTACAGTTTACAAAAGACTTATAAAATATTAATTATTGAAAATTGATACATGCAGAGTTGCATCGCACGCACGTGACATACTTATAAATAATTCTAACACACAGTCACTTCAATAATAATGAAATAATGTAATACGATATAATTCTTTCGGAAAATGTATGCGTGTATTATTTCAAACAAAATGCAAGTCGAGCAAAATGATACTTGTAATATCATTTTTAACGAGCTATTATACAAAAGCGATTGAATAAATTCTCTGTTTAATTTGGCAAACGTATAATGTCACAACGCATACTTTTTACAATTCGTTTCTATATATAATCAATTAGATTTCAATATTTACGGTTTCAATAATAACATAATGTTTCATAATAATAAATATAACAATGGTAATATACGTAAATTACAAATATTGTAACGCGTTAATTACAGGCTACAACTCGGAACATCGTTCAATATTATTTTTATCGCAGATGAGATTGATTTCATCAGATTCACTCGATTAGTAATGTCAAAAGATTCGAAAATAATATTTACTCAAATCCACAGCTTGATTTATTTGTCACGCATGTTATATCTCTATCTTAGAGTCAAATTTCTTTTATTTTGCGATCGGTTTCAATTAAATATAAACATATACTCTATGTGACCAGATGAACTCAGTAATACGCGTTCTGATAACCGTTCTGATAATCGGGATACCGGATAGACTGGTGCATCGAGGTGGATCCATCCGATCCAAGCAGGTACAAGCTGGTCAATTTGCCATTGAAGGTGTAAGGTTCCATATTAAGATTGTTAAGCGAATCACCCGGCCTCTTTATTGGCTTGTGATTCGCCTGCCACTGATAAATGGAGGTCGGCTTACCGTTGCTAACAAAATCGGCCGATAGATTGTCCAAGTTCGTGATTGGACTGTCGGCCGGTTTCTTGTTAGGTTTCTTTTGCCATTGGTAGACGGAGATAGGCTTGCCATTGCTTACAAAGTCTATAGGCAATTTGATGAAGGGATTAATGGTTTGCTGAGGTTGTCCCACAGGTCTTACGTAGGGTAGATGAAGTAGTTGAGTTACAAGGGGTATTTGAGGCTTTAAGGAGGCGGTCGAATACGTAGGTGGTTGCGAGATGTATCCGAAGCCGGGTACGAATGTATACGGAGTGGGTGGGAGTCGAATGTAGAAGATATCGCTTTCTTGGTATTTTTTTTCTGCCGATCTATTCTTTGCTGTAACTTCTGAATCGTCGTTGTAGTCAACTTCGTACGTGGGGAGTCTTGGATAATGGGAGATACGCGATACCGGAGGATAGTCTAAAAGTATAGCTTTTTCTTTCCGTCCTTGTGTTAATTTTTCACTGGCTTTGGTATCGCGTGTTTCCGAATCTTTAAGACGATCGGTCGTACGCTTTAAGTTTGACAGCGTTTTATTTATATTTTCTACCATTTCATCTGCTTTATCCTGACTCTCGGCTATTGTGTCTACATTGCTCTCCGCAGGATGCAAAAGCGTTTTTTGGACTTGAAAGACCAATCGATTGTCCAATGTGTCTTGAGAAGGAGTTGCCGTCGCAAATCCGATTATAGGTATCAGCAAGACCAGCACCATCGTCGTAGTGTCTGAAAAGGAATAAATTGTTTTTGTAAAAGCATCAAACATATCAGGCGCGACATGTATATTGGTATATTTGAAACTATATTTTGCACACAGAATAAAAGAATAAAGAAACGACTAAAGAAATGTATAAAAATTATAATCTATCCGGAATTATATGAAGAGTCGTTGATTGTAAAAGAGAAATTAATGATATGCATCATGGAATACTATAACTCACATGTTTTATGCGCAAGATACTTTGCGTAACGTAAAGATCCTCGAGATATCATTTTATTTATCCCCCGCAATAAATTATTATGATACTATCTATATCTGATCAATTATATACATAAATAATTAATAACTAAAGATATATTTTATCATCAATCATTTGAAAGCGAATGGTTCTTATATAGAGTATTTTATAATGCATTGATGGTTCAACAGGTATGTCCAACATTAGCATCATGGTAATTAAATTATTTTGTAATTAAATCCAGAAAAATTATTTTATTTTTCTGGACAGAAATTTATGTCATTAAAAAAAAAGTCGCGTAAACGTCACTCTAGATCACTCGGAGCCAGCAAACGAGCCGAAACAAATTGCTCGCTCGTTGGGGTGGATGTTCTTTACGAGAGATGCGTTTCCTGTCTAGCCACGCACACCATTATCGGGGAACTCCTTATCCTTCGCGGTTGCGCGCGCGCGCGATTGTACATCTGACGTCGAATAAATCACGTCCCTATGTAGAGTACGGGCGAGAAAAAGGCAGACAAGAAAGGAGATAAGGAGACAAACGCGATGCGACTGCATGAGGCGGCATTTGGACGTTCCATGCCTTCTGCTCGCGCTATGGTGTTTTCTTCTTCCTCTTCTTCTTCTTCTTCCTTTTCTTCTTTTTCTTCTTCTGCAGTGGTGGCGCGAAACGAAGGAAACAAGAGCACTAAGAATAGTAATTGAAAGCGGGTTATAAAATCGTCGAGTCACGCATTCCAGTCGCAAAGTCTTTCCGTGCTCGCGCTGGAGGACCTTGCAAAAGGTCGGGTAACAGAGCGCATAGGAATTAACCCTTTTGCATTCACCCTTCCATAGTTATTATTTTTGATTAATCATGAGACAATGTTAGTCTACTCTCCGTCTTTTCAAAGATAATTCTAGTGGATATCTCTATCTATATTGTAGATATTTTTATTACACATTCTACATACTATTGATCTAAGGAAAAGATATTAATCTTTTTAATAATATATAATTATTATTATATATAATAATAATTATTAAACTCTTAAATTATATAATAATGATTATTAATAATTATTAATATTATATTATATTTTATTACTATATATTATACATTACTAATAATTTTCCAGAGAGATAAAATACTAGCTAATTTTAACTATATTATCTCAGCTATTCTCTTTCTTACTTTCATTTCCTATTTAGCATTTATTTTTGTTCCTTTGCAAAGCACACACACATATTCGATATTTATTTCTGCTCTATGCTTAGACTTGTCTACTTATCGCTTTTTGCGACCTGGAAAATGGCAGCTTTTTCATCGGCTATATCGGTACAATCGCTCAATGATATCCTCGATAGACGGACGTCTATTGCAGATTAATAGCTCCGCCATTATATGTACATTAACTATCAGCAGCTTGTTACTCGCTAATCTAATTTGCTCCAGCAAATTTGTGGAACTTCACTTGCATTAATCGTTCAATGACCCTTTCGATCAACTTTTTAGACTTTTTATATATAACGAAATGTTCTTTCCGTATTTATAATTTTTAAGATTATATTTTATTCTATTATCCTACTATATATACCTAATATTATGTGTATCTTTTTTATCAATTTATTATAGATAAACGCAAATAATACAAAATAATTGACTGTAGATTTCACAAGATTACATTTATATTTCGGCGACAAAATTAATAATAACACGGCGTTCACACTAATGTTTACGTGCTTTTATTATCATTCACGTTACATCACTCGAACAGGAAAGTAATGATGCGAGATGCTCCATCGAATACTTTTTTTAAATGCGATCGCGACAAGTATCGGGAAATAATTTAATATGATTAATATAATTAATAATTAATTATCTTTTATATACGTTCAATAATAACTCTCCCTCTCTCTCCCTCCCTCCCTCTCTCTACCTCCCTCTCTCTCTCTCCCTCTCTCTAATTCTCTCTCTCTCTCTCTCTCTTATTCTCTCTCTCTCTCTCCCTCTCCCTCTTTCTCTCTCTCTCTCTTTACGGACAATAATTATTTTTTTAATAATACTTAGAGTCAAATATATTTCGTCTGCGATACTTTATCTCGTTCTATTTTTCGATCTAAATATAATTCAGATTGACTACGCGCAGTAAAATAATCAAATCACGAGTTGAAGTAATTAGCAACAAGTAATTTAATGAATGATATATCAATCGTTTAGTAAATAATTAATCTATAATTTAAAATAATTATAGAATTTAATATTAATACATTATATAGAACGTAAAATATTTGGACAACGAATTAGCAATAATATGGTGTTTGGCCTTGGCGTCGTGTCGTAAACAATAGCGCGCTAATGTTTATGTTCCGCTATCCTATTATCATTCACGCGGCGACTCTCGAGCAGTAAAATATAGTGGTGTGAAAAGCTCGTAAATTGTTGAATTTTTTTTTCCTAAATGTGACGTCAAGTATTGAAACATAATCCGCTATAATTTTTACAATTAACAATTAACTTTTGATAAACGACATAAAACTGTATCGCGACAATAAATCTTTATCGAAGCGCGATTATTCATTATTGCAAGTAAAAGTCGAAACAACAAATTATAAATTTCGTTATGACCCTTCGATTATTGATCCTTACAGATAATAATTTTTTCTAACAATGCTTAGAGTTAAATATATTTTGTTTTATTATTGAATTTTCCTAAAATGCCAGCATAAATTAATTATTAAATAAACGATTGCTATATCATGACTTCTCATTACTTTACTCTTTCAATTTTACGATTCATATTATTATGCGCATACTGTTCGTGTTGTTCTCTTATAATATAATATATAATGCGTATCTCGTATGATTGTGTTTCGCGATCGGAAGTGCCATGCAAAGTGTCTCGCGATCGTTGCGTATATGATTAATCATAATTAATCGTGTTTTCGCGAGTGAGTGTGAGTGTCACGAGGAAGCTGCAAAGGATGAACAAGAGAGCAACTGGAAAAGCATTAGGCTACGTACAGAGCAACGATATGCGGTAAATAATTTATAAATTATTTATCATTATGTATTGTTTTAAATAATATATGTATAATATAATATATGTGTGTGTGATAATACATATATAATATGTACAATATATAAATTTACTTTTCATTTTCATAGATATGAAATCAAGTTTATTAAATCTTTTATTAATTTTTCATATTGTTATGTGTTTAAATCAAATAATTGCAATACGAACAAAAAATTTAAAAAAAATTAACGAACTATATTCCATAAATTATTACTATTATCAATTATATATACAGATAGTATGTTAAACATAGTTTATATTATTTACGTGTAAACGTAGACAATTATTTTACTATTATTTTTCTCTTTGTTATTGATTGCCGTTTGATAGAACGATATGATTTTTTATATGATTATCAATTTTATCGACCAATGAGAAATATATATTGTAAATGTTTTAGCATCAGTCGATATTTGACTGACGCCTTTTACAAAATGCAAAAAATAAGATGTTATTAACAAATATATATTTTAAATATTGGAAAAGGATTTGTTGATATCTATAATCAACAAAAATATTTTGCAATCCTACTAATATTCGCATTCTGTCGGTATCCGGCATCCTCTTAAACGAAACCAATTCAACACACAATGATGTATATATAAAAAAAAAACGGTGAAGGATACTAGATATCGCCTAATTAGGATTGCTGTTCGAATAGCACGTGGCTTTCCTAATAAGTGACAAGGTTTCTTTCATGTAATTGCGACGCAGGAATGACCTCGATATTTCATTTAGTTATCGAGATATTCGGCCTGTTACGTTTGAAATTAAACACCCTGTATATATGTCAAAGTACATAAAAATATTTCGGCAGCGAATAACAATATCATGGTATTCGGTCTTGGTGGGGTAAACAATAGCGCGCTAATGTTTACGTATCTCGCCTCTCGGCTCTGTTATTATTCGCGCGGCGACATTCGAGCAGGAAGGTAGTGGATACGAGACGCTCCGTCAAATTTCTTTTCTAAACGCGATCGCGACAAGTATCGGGAAATAATTTGCTATGATTAATATGATTAATTAATAATAAACTTTTATAAATAATATATAACTATATATTTCGCGATGAGATATATATTTCAAAGCACATATTTTGCGTAATTTATTCATTTAAACGAGTAAGAATCGAATTGACAGAAATCCAAAATAATAAATTATTGTTTCGTTACGATCTCTCTCTCTCTCTCTCTCTCTCTCTCTCTCTCTCTCTCACACACACACACACACACAC